TGAACAATCGCTGTGAACATTTTATAAACTCTGGGTTAGGTTAGGTTATTGTATGTTTTCAAATTTCAAAATTAAAATATATCAAAAGTTAACACTGGCTGTCCATAATTAATATACCTAAAATACAATGTATTTAATGTTTATTAATCTTATAAAACAAAAATCGTACAAATAGTAAAACCTTCAAGKTTTAACCATTTAAAATATTTTGAATTTTAAATTATATTCGATAGGTACTAATAAGCAAATGCTAATATACAACAACTTATCGGTGGTGTAGGAATAATTATTTCTGGCCAGTATGTTTTTTAAGACATGCTGAGTTCGACAGAAAACCGCCTGACAAGGACATTCATTGCATTCTCCTTATAAATTGTCAAATCGAGAAAGTGGTGTCGATAATGCAAAAGGTGTCGTGCTAATACCTACTGAAACGGCGAACTCTTCAGTTGAAAGGTATGAACTATCTGCAGTATTGAAATACGTTTTCACTATTAGTATTATGTATGACTATTATTTTACACCTATTACAAATAACTCAAATCTTTATASATATATAATACGATTAATATCGCCACCTTTCCGGCMCAATATCGTTACGTAACTATTATCTCACGATTAAATTTTAATTTTTTTTATTAGTTAATGTTTCTCTGAAAACCATGGCTATTCAAAAATTATCTCAAGGACATTTTCTGAATTGGGGCACTGGCGGGCCACCTCAGTTAGTGCACTTCCACGTGACAGATAAATATTTTCYTGGCTCCTTGTTTAAAAAATCTTACCCAAAAGCACGGGTACCGAATTTTTGCGAACGTTATCATCCAAATACGCTGCACCACAAGTCCAGTACAACGAACCGCCCAATCCCAGCATTGCATGCGCAGCACAGAACAGGAAAGCGGCCACGTTCCATAATTGCTCGTTATTGCAGTCTTCATATAGTGGTTGACCGTCGCAGATTTTCTCGTTTTGTCCTTTGTTGCACATGAAACCAAAGATAATTTTTTTTGTATTTTCAATTGCTTAAAATCTTTATAACAGCTACATGACGTTTTATGGTGTTTATATAATGTTTTATAAAAACAAACGTAGATCCAATAATAAATCATTGATTAATACTCACGCGAGATGTTACTGAGCAGAGAAGTTGAGTTCACGTTGGCACCGTATTCGACGGTGTACTGAAGTATCTCTTCGCCTGGCCCGTAAATAATGTGTGGCAGGAGACGAACAAAACAGGATAGACCTACGAGAAATGAACCGATTGCCAACCAACGCGTCCGATGTCCTTTGCCGGCCATGTGGGACGTCACCATGAACGATATGAGTGAAAAAAGATCCCAAGTGCTCGAAATGATCCCTAAACATGTTAGGTATACGTTAGTTAATAATATTATTCCAAACACTGAAATTTAAGGATTCTTAACTAAAAATTATACACGAAAAAGAAAATCAAATTACTGATTAAAAATAAAGACGAAAAATTCGGATATAATCTATATTATAGTATATATTGTAATATGTAGATTGTAGATAATAAATTTAAAATCTAAATACTAATCGTTATACCTATTTTTTAGAAGCGACAAAACTTATATAATCAATATTTTGAATATTAGTTCCTTCAATGTTCTAGATGCGCAATAAGAAGGGATTTTAAAATTTTCTYATTTTTGAAGGTAAGATAGAAATCAAATTTTTTTTATATATAATATATTAGGTATACCATAAGAATATATAGTTGGGTTTCAGGCTACAGGAAATAAAATAGTTATCATGATTGGAATGATCAGATGTAATTTTCAAATTGTTTTACCCACAWTTAATATCTATGATAAGCCACAACTTACAATTTACAATAGTTATAAATCTATTTCAAAAAACAATTTTATCAATTAATCAAAATGACTAATTATACGTTTAGAGTTAAAGTTAAGCGAGTATGGCAAACATTAGAATTAATACTTAYMCAATAAGTATAAGTATGGTTTATCATTAATGAATTATAGATTATACTATTATACTCTGTAGTATTTACTAAGCACATGACTTAAACATTTTTTTGTGTTACGACGTATAGCTGTATCACAGAAAATATGTTATTGGAAATAATATAGTTATTACGGTGRGTATCATAAGTGATGTAGGTAAACTTTATGTTTTTAAACGCGTCTCTACGATTTGATTAATTATTCGTATAGACTACGTTTTAATTACCACTCATTTGACTGGAGAACTTAAATCTTTTTTCCATGGTAGTCAGTGTACCGTTGAAGTACGAGGACAACATGAATTGGTTGAGTCCCAACAGCCCGTACACGAGAACATACACCTTTTTGCTAGCAAATATCTGAAGCCACTTGGGCTTGAACAACCATATCCCGCAAACTGTGTTCTCGACATCAGCCGGGTCGTCCGAAGTCTTCTTACTCATTTTCTTTGATTCTAAACAAAATTAAATTTAGATGAACAGTATAATAAACGTACACTTAGTTATGGTTTATAAATGAGCAGTGGTTGGTACGCGATCATCACGAAATGTGCAGGCATTACGCTCCAATAATAATAATACCCAATACTAATAATATTGCCGAATATAATATACCGGAGCGTAAGTGTTTTACATGAGTTACATAAAATTTATCACTAAGCTAGCATTTTTTTTTATTTATATAAGTTACAACAACATAGATTATTGGCTAAAAAGGAGACATGTTTTTTTGAATTTTTACAATATCATAATGTAGGTAAGAATATATATATATTGGTAATTTTCAAGTATTTAAATATTTTTTCCGTAAGCTAGCATTTATTTAAGTTATAAATTATAATTATACAGCCGAACACGGGTCCGACTACACAATTCAACAAAAATACACAAATACAACACATTATGCTCTTATAAATAATTTTAACTCAATATAGGTTTAGTACAATATAATGATGGTTAAATAGAAACATTAATATTATATTAGCTATTGAAATTCACCTCTCATATTTACTGAATTTTTAAAGAATACCACTAAATATGTCTAATTGACCGAGTGGGCGTAGGCATATAGATGTTTTAGTAAAACATAATCCAACAAGCTTTTCGTAATATTCGATATTATAATTTAAGCACAACCTGTTTTTACAATAGTATATTTACCTACAATATTATAAGCTTAATAATTAAGCTAATACTTATCACAATAAATATCTTTAAGTGGATTTCATGAAAAAAAAGTTTATGTTGATGTACCCATCATTACTGATGAACAAATCTAAGTATCTGAAAATAGGATATTAAAATTATACTGAACAATTCCGAAAACCAGGATTTTAATTATCAAAAGTTTGAAACAGTTATAAAAATGTTATGTCAAAGAGGCCTTTTGCATTTGCAACTGTTATAAGTAGGTACAATATGCATTATTTATGTATATAAGTTATATCAAAAAATAATAAATTTTGTAAATATACATATTTAAGGTGGACTAAGAAATGTATGTGTTTGAGTAAAAAAACTATTCCCACGTTGTCAAGTTTCCAATCCGAACATATATATATATATATATATATATATATTATATATACACGGTTATCATTTTTAAATCATTGGACTCTATTAAAATTAGAAATGCATATTATAAATCCTAGCCATTAAACATAAATTTGAATTATATATTTACTGAAGTATTTGATATATGAATTCAATGAATATTTATGAATACAAACGAATTAATTTTATTCTAATTACTCAACAAATTAGATTTATAACTAATCTCAAATTTTAAATGAGAACAGTATTTAAAAAAAAAAATTTAGTTATAAAATAGTGGCAACTTGGAACAGCTTATCGGCTTATCGGTGACATTCAGTAATGATGACTACAAAATCATAACCAAAATTATTGGTAGGTGGGCACTAGGCATACTAAATTAATGTGTTTCACGTTTTCATGTTGCACGTGCGATAAAAAAAAAAAATTATAATAATATAATATTAACTCGTAGATCCGGATACGTGGTAATACCTAATTATCGAGGAAACACGTACAATAAGCAAGTGTGCGTATTTTTATTATTACAATAATATATTATATATATATAATATTATACATTATTACCGATTTTATTGATAACCTCGTTAAACCTAATTATATGCRCCTATATAGTATTGTGTCCTATTAGTAAGAACTATTTATTTTATCAAGCATAAAAGCACATTGATCTATATATAATATATTAAATACGCATTGTGATGGATGATAACCAATAGAGATATACCATCTAATATCTACCTATGGATATTATCATAAAAACTAAAAATGGAATAACATAATAAAGAGAGTGAAAAAGTGAAATAGAATATTATCTGACAATATAAATATTATAATAAATTATATTATACAATATACAATATTATCTGACAATATAACAAAATTAACTAATTTTATAATAACTATTGTTTTATCAAGATAAAATTGTATTTTTTAAGTTTTTAACTAACAATAATCATATTCATATATTATATCTATTAAAATCTATAATATTAAAAAAAAAAAGTAAGCCTATGTGAATGAGTTTGTTAATTACACATAACTGACATGCTATCTATCTGTTTTTTATATTCTAAACCGAACAATGAATTTATTGATTTTACAATGATTTGTATTTTATTGTGTCTTGATAAGCGATAAGTACCCACTTTTTTAATTTTTTTACCAGAAAAAAATTAGAATTTGGTGGTWAACGGTTTCGAAAAGTACTCACTTAGTTGAAATAATTTGGTTAAGTCTACTTTTGAATTCAAGAGGTCAAAATTGAAAATTCTCAGTAGTTTTCAAGTGTCATAAAAACAAATTCTTACAACAACTTACGAGAAACCTTATTGTTTATACATTTATTTATTTTTGTTTTGTTTTACTGAGCGTAAAATGATTTATTGACAATAATTTTAAATGAGACTAKAAAACGAAAAAAGTGAACTGTCGCGAGTCGCCTGCAAACATGACAAATAAAACATCGAAATTATTTTGTATAGGAAATACGCATACAAATTTAAAAGTTGGTTTATTAAAGGAAATAAACATGGCACAACAAATTCACCTTCTTTTAAGATTAACTCTATTAACTTCTTTATTTTAAAGGTGATGCATTAGATGTTTCGCACGTGTGGCCACGCCAACAACTGAATACCTCGTGAGATTTTTTGTAAAATGATTGAAGACATATTATACACTCAGACTCGGGTATACGTGTGGCCATTTCGGACCTAATCGTGTGCATAATGTTATTATTACATTATTGAAATATTCTAGACACAAGCGCAGTATTGTATAGAAATATTATTATATCGTTGCATGTTATTATGCACCTATATTTTCAGTATTTGAATATCATTGTTACTTCACTTTTGTACTTCAGATATAGATCCACGTCATACATTTTCATGTACACAATATGATAGTTCGCATACAATGTCGTTTCTCCTTCACCGTTTACAGCGGCATTTTATCTSACGGTTTTCCCGGCTTCAGTAGGTACCTAGTCCGTCGAAAACCATACGCAACAACGTTTTTTATCGCCAACTTTGTAGGTACGCCATAAATACATAATATTATTATGTATGTGCGTAGCAATGATATCATTTAATAACAACTGCAGGTCTTAATACTATAGTATATATGCCATCGATAGACGATAATAGGTTTTATACGGTGTAATATAATAACATTAAAAAATTGGTTACAGCATGTGGACGCGATTCTATAACGACTATAACTGCAGCGTGKATATATAGGTAGGTACATTATTTTAGAACTGAGATTATAGTATTATAGTATCATAAAAAATCTTCACTACCTAAAGTTTTATAGATATTTGATAATTATTAGGTATAGGTACACGTTTAAGACGACTGGAAATCACGACATGCGCCCAGAAAATCAAAATTAAAATGCACAATAGTTATATATACAACTGCTATGGAGCAGCTAGCAGAGCTTGTACAAATAATTAATATTGTAGCATTTGTAGCTGGCCATACTTTTAGACAAAACTGGTGAAACTATGTGTAAGTTATAATGTTATCCAGATTAAGAATGATTTTATTAAAAAACAGTTTTCATGATGGAAGATCGAGGATTGTACGGTTTTGTATATTACCTATATTTTGTTTGTCGGGTAGCCAACTTATACATATATACCAGCAGAACACAAAACATCATATACGTGTTAAGGTTGTGGGTTCGTTACTGTATTATAATGCAATATATTGTAAGGTTGTAGTGACGACTAATCAGTTATGTGGAATGGAAGTTAAAAACAATGGTCAACAACGAAAAAGCGAAAGTGTCGTTGGCTCGTGCAGTATATACCTACGACTAAACGAGTGCTCACGTTGTCTCTGCACGATTATAATTATATTGTTGTAACTTATTTGTTTTGAGTCTCTTCTCGATTATTATATTATATACAGAGTGACTCTGAGTGATTTTTTTGCATAACTTTGAGTCAGTATAAAACTGCATTTTCGAAATAAAAA